CATCAAACGTGAAATTCATGTTTCTCCCTTTGTAAGTTCTAACAACGCATTGAGAAATATAATTGTATTGCGATGAAACGTTATCCCGAGGTTTTTTTTTTATAGTTTCAGAGTTAGCATAATCCTGGCTTAAATGGCATTGCTTTCTGAAGTTTTCATGTCTTCATAGCTGTATTTCTCAAGTTAGAACCTTACGACAGCACTTGCAGTAAAGTGTTTACTTTCTTAATCTTAAGTTTGAAGGAGATGCTTCATTGGAACGGGAAGCCTTAATGTCCGTATGTGTGTACTTTAAATGTGTTCGTGGGTTGACCTATAGAACATGCAAAACACGTCTCGTGTACAAGAAACATAAACACACCTTGGTTATTTGTAATATCCTTAAAGTTTGTTATCATAGATGTATACCTTATAAGAATAATATCTTTCGGTTGTTTCGGACACCGTATTTGATGTTCTTCTTATCGTCTATATATTTCGATTCTAAAAGGAGGTCACTAGTAAGTCAGTAACTGTAAACATGAGCATGGGTTATGGACACAATAAACCTCTCTTGTGATGATTTCAAAGATAATATTTCAATGTTTGTCACATTTTTATTATTGCCACAATAATGCCAATCACGATAGTTAAATGGGTAAGTCACAACACGAACTTCCGTTTTTGTATCACGTAGTCTAACTTGTACGTAAACATGTTCATCTCGCGTTTGGTTAGATAACGTTCCTGATCGAAGGAAACTTAATAAGTTGTTCATAATTATATTGTTTCCTGAAATTTCGAAATTTTGTTTAACTTTAACTGATTACTCTGATTTGTAATATACAGTTTTTGTCTGAGAATTGTGAATCCAAAATTTATATAACATATTAGTTTTTCTGTTACTTTAACAATTGTAGGGAAAATTTTCTTTCATGCTCGATGATATTTTTGAAGAGTGGAGCGTAAAAATTAACATATTGAATATTTACATGTATAAAGCAGGCATCTGTTTTTTTATTAACAATAACCTAATTAAAGCTGTACTAACATAATTCTTACTTATAATCCAAGTGAATATAAAAACTGGCGTATGTATTTCCTTTGATTTTCTCCATCAATTTATATACCTCGTATTTTAGAGAATTGTTCCAACAGGAAATATCACCCTGTTAATTACATCAAATTAATATTCCACTTTGAAAAATGCATAAATATGTTTTATAAGTTTAACAAAAAAAACACAATTTAAAAATTATAAGACAAAAATTGCGAAAAAACCCGGGAAAGTTTTCATTTTTTCAGATAACATGTTGCCATCACGGTATAGAAAATTTATAATTTTCGCTATTGAACTTAAAGTATTATTATGCAACAAAGTCACTGTTGACGTTCTATATTTAGATATATGACGTAATCATTATACATGTGACGTAACCATTAAAAAATGCGACGCGCTGAAAATAAGTACGGATTAGACAAATCAGGAACAATTTAGCTTAATGTCAGTTACAGCAGCATCTATTTGTTGATGTCGTTTTAGAATCGAAATAATATATCCTAATCGGTGATTTTATCGCTTGATAACATCACTTTTGGTTGTTCGGATGCGCATCATTATATCACTCGGGCTACGCCCTCGTGATATAATTCTTCGCATCCGAACTCCAAACAGTGATGTTATTGAGCGATAAAATCACTGTTTGGGATATATTATATCTTAAATATTCTCTTTAATCCAGTGAAATAGTATATGAAATCAGTTCTTATATCATGTACATTTCATTCTGCAACTTTTAAATGTTGATAAATGTTAACATTTCTAAATAATGTTTTATTCAAAAAGTAGGAATAGTAGGAATATTTGTATAAACTGCAGGAGTATGGTAAAAAAGTAGTAAAGTAGGCAAAAGTAGGCCTTTTGAAATTTAAGTTCCATTGCAAAAAAAACAAAACAAAAAAAAAAAAAAAACAATTTATTACATGTTTTTCCCAAGGTACTCAATGAACATTAGAACGGTTGGGAGGCGTTTTTCCGACCAGAGCATGCAATACAATAGATGACCCCCTTCTCATATGTTGCTGTTTTAATTAAAGTTTTTTTTTCTGACAACATAAATATATAATAAGAAAACATATTATTAAATGATAAAACCTTTTACTGAATGAATGGAATAAACAAAACGAATAGTATCGTAACAATTGGTTATTTGATAGAATTTCAAGTTTCTGTGCTATAACTTATCTTATTTTAATATTTAACCTTTGTGAGAAAAGAATATTAAAATTAACTATATCATAATATAATACATTAATTGACATTGTTGTTTTAATTGACACTGTGATTTACATAAGATTAACATTAGAACAAAAAACTTGATATTTCATCAATATTTAATAAGAATGTACTGTAACGAGGAAGTCCCTGTCGCTACAGAAAAATACACCAAAGTTTGTCCGCACAGTTGGTTTATCGGACCAAAAATTAGGTAAGAAAACTGGAAATAATGTATATATTTTCGGATACATATGGAAAACTACTCTTGTATATCGTTTTGTTATCAAAAATAAACATGTTGGGACTTAAACTAATCGAATATTTAAAACAACTGATACATTATTTGTTTGCATGTGCAAATAAAGTTGACGGTTGAATTTGCAGCAACAAATACCTCGATAACGTCCTAAATACTATAAAATGTAGTACTTTATTTTGACGATCATGCACAATTAAAAGTTCTGATCAGCATGCGCAATTCTATTCTTCAAGAAATTACAATAGACAACAAATATTTGGAAATGAAAACATGCTCATACCCACTTTGGTTTTCGCTTTCGTCGGCCATTAGTCCGTATCGCATGATTTCACCTCGCTTAAAGTATCGCACCGCTCTACGTTCGACCCCCTGTGAAGATTTATCGATATTGTATATTCCAAAAAGCATTATTTGTAAAGATATTACCGAATTTACATTTCATGTAAATAAAGGGAGGTAATTAGAAATTTATTTTCGATAAAGTCTAAGCCAAATGTTTCAATAAGAAATGAATGCATTTTTTATGATTACTTATAATGCGTATAAGCATTTTCAGTACATACTTAACATATTATTGAATGTTTGGAAATTGTTTGAGAATAATAATAATAATTATACCTATAAAATTTTTCACTTAAGTGTTGTTACATCTTAATTACAACCTTTGGGATCTTTAAGGTAAAGAATTAAAATTATGATAGAATATGGTAAAATATGCAAGTAAAATATCTGATATCGTCAAAATATCCGTCCAACGGGAATCCGCCTATGCAAGCCTCGTTATCGCCTAATGGCCGAGTACCCTTGGGACGGTATTCCGATCCAGACCCCGCAACATAAGACAAATATAATTATTATTCTGGTAAAGGAGATGGAATTTTTTCTGGTAAACATATATCTTAACATATATATATATTGATTTTTTTCAAAACCAGGAAACGCCACACGTCTTATTATATTATATGGATATTTACATGAAATAATAATAATTGATCAATTACAAATACGACACACTGATCTTTATATGAATAGTGTATAATTCCGTCTAACTAATGTTTAGAGCAAACACAAATAAGCCACGTTTTCATGAATTTGTTATGTGGGGATAATAAGGATTAATTATATTATGTTAATAATATCAACATGTACACATAATTATGTTTTTGTTATACTTTATGAAGAATTGATGTTCTATTTATACTTTTTTCTGATTAATTAATAAAATTCAATGATACTGATCTAGAATATGACACGCTATCTTAAAGGATTACTTTATATTAAAACAAATAGTCGAGTATAATTTTATGACATAGCTGGGTTCTTTTTTCTAAAAGTTTTGTAACATCAATATAGTTTGTATCAAAGGTGACATACTAAAGTTTGATAGAAGTGCTGTGGTTTACAAACTGTGCTTGACACAACTGTCACTTTGTAAAGATCTATAGTCGTAATCTGTATCAGGAATTTGAAAATATTAAAATAATGATGTATAATAATTTTTCTATCAAAACCTACAATACAATCTATTATAAAAATTCTATGAACTAAAGTTGTAGATAAAAGGAGGTATATTGAGGGCAACGAAACTTTATGATAGAAAGGGGGAAATTGCAGACACAGCTTATATATGTATATGGGGAATAATAAACGGTGCAATTTCTCCCGTGTCGTCCTCCCAGTTTACACTAAAATGAATTATAGGGACAACTTTTTCAGCTGCAACCAGCACATTTCTCTAATAAATGTAGAACCCTCGGGATAGTGGATAACAAATATATAACAGTAAAATGTGTATGGCTAGAATATAAAACGAGTAACAGCAAAACAACCAAAATAGTATTAATGTACGTAATAAATATGGGACAAAAAAAAAAGAAAGAAAAGTAAATTATATGCAGTAAAGCTTCAATAATTTACGTCCTCGATGGATCCGAGCCTGCAGTCTTAAATTGAGGTTATTGATAGTCAATTATCGAATGTAACAAATGGAAATATGATATAACGTGAACCATTCCAAAATAGTTGTACACGTAAATATGTTTAAGTTATCCAGATGTTTATGTTGGACAAAACTTTATTAATGTAATAAGCTAATAATGTAATTTTGTTGCATAACTCAGCTTTCTCTATTGTTTTAAACTCCCATTTGTAAGCGCTCGTAAATTTAATACAGAGAGTATAAAAGGGACGGAGTGAACAGGCAAATATTAATCGTGCAACCTAGATTCTGAATATTATAATTGTATAACATACTGTAAGTTATGTAAGTTTTAAATAAAACAGGATTTACAAAACTTATAAACAGTTTCTGCAATTGTGTATACGAATACAAATGTGAAGATTATACAGTTTTTATCGTTGATTTAAATAAATATATACAATCTCTTTAAACTGTTACAAAAATGTTTGGTATGGCATAGATACTATTTAATTTATTCGCTTCATTTGAATTCATTTTTCTCAAGTTTTAAATTTTATTTTCAGGTTGAGTGACAACAAATGGAATATATTTATGAGAAACAAAAGTTATTATTTTAATTATGACGGAGGAATTTAAGCTCAAAATCGTTGATAAGATACTAACAATATACCCGCCGATATTATTAAGCATTGGACTTACAGGAAACATTTTATCCGTGATCGTTTTAGCACAGGCAAGTACTAGAAAAACTTCAACTGGTTTTACGTTGATATTTCTGACAGTTACCGACACATTGATTCTCATAAATTCTGTTCTTGTGCGATGGCTGAGCCATATGTTTGAGATAAATTTAAGGTCTTCTTCAAATGGTGCGTGCAAATTTCATGTTTTCATGTCATATGTTCTGTTTCAACTGTCACCGTGGATTCTTGTCTTTGTTACAGTCGAACGAGTATTCAGTGTGAAATATCCGCACAGAGTGAGGGATGTTTTCACAAGAAAAAGGGTAATTCGAGGCCTACTTATCCTTGTTTTGGTCCTTAGTAGTGCGAATGCCCATCTTATTTATGGATACGAGCATGTTTATAAAGAAGCATACTACTGTACAGCGAGAAGCAATCACGAAGATTTCATGTTTAAATACTGGACATGGATTGATTTTGCCCTTGCATTCGTCATTCCATTTTGCGTGCTTCTTTGCGGCAACATAATTGTTATACACAAACTCAAATTGAGTGAAAGGTTTCAAAAATCAACTTCAATTACAACACAAAGTGGACAAGAACTCAGAGGCAACTTAAATCGGCGAGGAAACAATACGGCGTCTCATTTCACAATGACGGCAGTCATACTTAACATAACATTCTCCTGTTTGGTTTCTCCCTTTTCAATCTTTGCAATTGGACAGCCATATTGGTTTCCACACGAAACACTATCATCAGAAGAAATAGTAAACTTAACGCTTATTGGGACAATATTACTTATGTTACTACATACAAATAGTGCAATTAATTTTGTACTCTACATTTTTTGTGGGTCAAAGTTTAGGAGAGATTTTATGAATATATTTTGTAAGCGACAAAGGTCATTGTCTGTGCAGAGCTTTTGTTCGCAATCTCTGAGCACTTTAAACTATTAAGACGTGGCATTTTGTCGATTATAACACAAAATTTAATGCTCTCTTAACATTTGAAATATCAATAACTACAAATAAAGATTCAGATAACTTTATTAGTTCATGGATTTGTTCATGTTTTCTAGCTTATAGTAATAAGGTTTTCTTTTCAAAAAGTGATCAGATGAGTCAATAGCCAGGTCAAAGACATTAATTTACGTATAAATATCATATGGTGACTTTCAAGTTTATCTGTCAGGGGAAGACATAAGAGCATTATTCCAGGCACAAGCCGACATCTCAGTGGAACCACCGACCTTCTGTAATCTAGCTGGGTGGCTTCTTAACCAGAGAGAATCCAAAGTTACTGATGGAATTTGAAGCTTCACAGATAAGGGGCAAGTTATTTAAAGTTAGTGATCTTGACCACTTGGCGAAGGAGGACCCTTTCACTACAATTACCCATGAGTCAGCATGCAAGCATCAAGCGTTCAATGTTTGGGACTGACTGCGAAGACTGCTTTGTTTTAATGCTACAAGATCCATAGAACTTTTAATTATTTCTAATATTTTAACTCATTACAAATGGAAAAGACTTTTACGCGAAAAGAAATCATTTTGCTATAACATGTAAAGTATATTGTAAGCATTAACACATTTAGAAATTAGGTTGACTGTATATTGTATGTTAAATCAAATTATCTTCACGCTTACACACCGCTAAAGTTTAGCTGTCGTAAAAAATAGTGTCTGTTCAAGCATTCTTTCTAAAGGCCAGCTGACAATCATTTTGGCAATCATAAAGCTTTACGGAAAGTTTTATTTCTGGTAAAGGAAGTCAGCTGTAATTTGGGAGATGAGGTGTGAGATGGTGAATCTTTGAAATATTCATGTTTTTTACGTTGTAATCTTCTGTCTTATAAGAAGTTTTTACAGAACACACCAAACTTTCTAAAAACAACTGACGAATGCTCAAACATTTTGCACAAAAGTATTGTTGAGATATTATTATTATTATTTACACTTGAAGGAACTTGAAGTGTGCCACCAAATAAAAGCAATATTAGAATGTGTTATGGTATTCTTCAAAATTTTAGTGGTTGTAAAATACAACAATAAGCTAATATTGTATTGTACTGCTTGATTTGATTGTAATTTCATTTTGAAATATATTAAATTGCATTGAACAAAATATAAAAATAGCATAAAACGCAGCTTTTCTTTTGTATAACATGTTCTCCACCTGCGTTTATAACAGAAATGCACCTGAACCTCATTGCCAACACGTGATTTTGACAGAAAGAAATGAAGGGAATTTTTGTTTATTCTCTCCAGATTTTAGTTTTAAGGAACTGTAGTGTTTGTGGAATGGGTCCATTAATTTGAGCATTAAGAAGTAATTAAATTGAATCCTAAAAGAACTTTATAAACTGCAAACTTGAAAATGTTGCAGACTTGCGTTAAGTGGGCCTGTTGATTAAGTCATGTTGTGAGAGTGTTGATTTCCTAATCATAAATTTTCCCTAAACAATAAGCCAACGAGAATAATATCGATGAGCACTGTTGCCGATAATTATGTTACATAACAGTGAGTTACGCCTGGATATTTCCCAATTACAAAGTGCTCCGCTTTGTTTTAAATGAAACGTGCCTTATAGGTACGTCATAGGTACATTATAGGTACATCTGAAATTTTAAAATAATTTGCCAAACGGTCTAACAACGAAATCACTGGTAAAACCTACTGTAGTAATTTTTTTCTTAAAAAAACTGGAAACAAAGTGATTCTGCGGAAGCATTAATCACAACAAAATTACATAAGAATTGCAGACTCGGTTTGATTGAGTCTGTACATGAGGGATAATGAATAAGTGCGACATCCTTCACGCCCCTTAGCATCGGCTTGAGCGGTACTCAATTCTCAACACTTAATAGTGCTGGCATCAATGATCCCAAAGGACCAGAAAAATATAACAACACTGAAGTGAAGTACGGGGCAACTTTTTACAGCTGCCACACAGCACTTGACATCTGCTGTTGTGAAGTATAAAAATCTGGAAACAAAGTGATCCCTCGGAAGCATTAATCACAACAAAATTACATTAGAATTGCAGACTCTGTTTGATTGAGTCTGTACATGAGGGATAATGAATATGTGCAACATCCCTCACGGTCCCTAGCACCGGCTTGAGCGGTACTCAATTCTCAACACTTAATAGTGCTGGCATCAATAATCTCAAAGGACCACAAAATATAAAAACGCTGAAGTGAAGTACGGGGCAACTGTTTACAGCTGCCACACAGCACTTGACACCTGCTGTTGTGAAGCATGAAAATCTGGAAACAAAGTGATCCCTCGGAAACATTAATCACAACAAAATTACATAAGAATTGCACACTCGGTTTGATTGAGTCTGTACATGAGGGATAATGAGCACTGTTGCCGATAATTATGTTACATAACAGTGAGTTACGCCTGGATATTTCCCAATTACAAAGTGCTCCGCTTTGTTTTAAATGAAACGTGCCTTATAGGTACGTCATAGGTACATTATAGGTACATCTGAAATTTTAAAATAATTTGCCAAACCGTCTAATAACGAAATTACTGGTAAAACCTACTGTAGTAATTTTGTTCTTTAAAAAAAATGGAAACAAAGTGATCCCGCGGAAGCATTAATCACAACAAAATTACATAAGAATGGCAGACTCGGTTTGATTGAGTCTGTACATGAGGGATAATGAATAAGTGCATCATCCCTCACGCCCCTTAGCACCGGCTTGAGCGGTACTAAAACTTAATAGTGCTGGCAACAATGCTCCCGAAGGACCAGAAAAACAACACTGAAGTGAAGAACGGGGCAACTTTTTACAGCTGCCACGCAGCACTTGACACCTTCATACAGATAACATCTTCATAAGTCTGATCAGGATCTCTTCAGTATGTAGCCCAAGTTTTGTATTCTTCAATTTTCAAATTAACTGTTTGAAAGCCTATACATAACAAACTATTTACGCTCAAGATGTCATCAAAGATAACGTTATAGAATACTGTAAATCATAATAAGTAAGAAAACCCCTGGATGTAAATTCACAAAAGAATAAGCGAAGCAATTTCATTACAAAACTTGACATTACACACTCCTAAAATTAAAGATAAATAAAAGCTTAATACAATACGATACAATAAAATAAAATACTATAAAAAAATGAAATGCAACACAATACAATACAAAACAATGCATTTGAATACTGAAAATTCAACTTGACTAAGCTTTAATTGCCTTCAAGTTCGTCTTCTGCCTTGCTTCGTCGGGCCCTTGCAGGTGATTTTTTGTTGTTCTGTCTTTCTTTAAGACATAAAGTACTTTTGTTATGATCATTGGGTTTTCTTTTATATGTTTCTGCATGATCATTTTGGTGTTTTACTTATTTCACCTTTGTAACCATAACAACTGTTAAAATTTCACTTGGCCAGGATTCATTTTATTTACACTGTTTCGTTTAAAGGAACATGTGACAGCTGTGAAAAGATGCCCCGTACTTCACTTCAGTATTTTTTTTTCTCTGTTTCGTTGGGATCATTGACTTTAACACCTGTAAGTGTTTAATATTGGGTACCGCCCAAGCCGGTGCTAGGTGGCGTGATCCCTAATATATAGATTCAATTGAACCGAGTCTGAAATGTTCATGTAATTTTGTTATGATTAATGCACACTTTATCCAGACTTTTATATAAAGGAAAAACTTAAGTCACTTAACATATCTAGTTAACGGTTAAAAACTAGAAAACTGTCGACCATAGAGCTCTTTTAATGATAAAATTTCAAGAACTTTAATTTCTTTACGAATGTTTCAGTGGTTGTTTGGCGCTTATGACTGATCCGGGATAATTTGATAGATCGACTATAATAATACAGCTTTGTACAAATAAACGAGATGTTTGTTATATGTTATTTGGGTTTATGTTTTATTTGTTGCTGTTTTTCTTAAGTGTTAATGCTTTGTTTTTTTCAATTGTTTTTTTTTCTTATTTTTTTAATTGGATTGTCTTCAATGGGGCATTTTTTCCAAATTTATTTCAGATATTGATAAAAACAATAATAGCAATGTATCGTTCTGTTTTTATATATAATTTCTGGACAAGAAATGCTGATTAGTTCTCTGTGCTTTAGTGTGAACATTTATATGGTAGAATTATAATATTATGTTCTAGATTTTATTTTCTGTTTATATAGTATCATGTAACTCGCACTTGCTAACAGAACCTATTTAACATTCTTTCGTAGTTTGTTGTTACGTATGTAATACTAAATTCTATTAAGTTATTAACGTAAGTATTTATTGTAATACCGACCGTCCTTTATAAGCCTATTAACTTTAATATGTAATATGCTTTATTATTTATATTATTTCCTTGCAAACAAATGGCATTGATATCATGCTAGAAAAAAAAACTCGCTTAAGTTATGTGAATCAGTCTATTAAAATATGGTTTGAAAGCAGTGCTTTGTGTACAAAGGGGAAAAACAAAATATGTCTATAATAAAAGGATAGCTCGTCACAGCTTGTCTTTCATAATGATCCATTGGCGAATTCTGTATCAAGAATATGTATACACGTTAATGACATAGCATTATAAGTTATAAGACAATTATTCAAAAGCTGTATGAAGTGTTTTAATTCTAAGGCTAAGGGACTGCCTTTAAGGGTTGATGCATCAGAATCGGAGCCGCTGTTTATCCATGCGTGATCGTAAGAGGCAACTAAATTTATAATCGGAGTCTATGGATCCTTTAGATCTAGCAGTTTAGGTGATTTTACCATTAATGTTTATTGAGTTAAGTTTTTACACCTGAGATAAGCCAAACTCATCTTTTCTGTTTCGACGCCATAGAGTGACCTAAATTTTGTTGGTGCGCTGTAAAACAAACCAAAACACAAAAAATATGTTGAATTAGGTTTTAGACATTAAATAGAGAGAAACACTTAAGTACAAAAGTGAATATTTGACAATTGGAGACTTGGTTTAAAAATGTTTGTTTATGTGTCCTTGAGAGACGAAAAATGGTGCTCCCTAGCACTGACTTAAACAGTCTTCAACTGAATTAAGT